AAAACTGTCACTTGGAGGCTAATTAAAGATGCAGAAATTATTACTCCCAAATGACTCCATGGTTTTAAAATGAATTTGGACCAGGAAGGTGTCTAGAATATGAATTTCTAATGTCCTGCTGATCAAATTTTGGGAAACATGGAAGTGAAGCTAAAACACTGAGTTGTCTTATTATCATTTTAAAAGCTTCTCCTTGTTCTTTTTGATTAATCTTTCAAGTTTCTAGAATTCTCTTTATTTTTAATTATTGGCTTCACTTCCATTCTAGCTATACATATACACATTCACAAACTTAAATAGGAATGCCATGAGAGCCCTTCATTAGTTTTTGAGAATGCAGTGTCAGCAGGATGATCTGCTTCTATAAAGAAGAATATGGTATCTGAATAGTAGTTTCTGTTTATTTTATATTTATATGAATGTGTTTTATGAGGTGTAACAAGTTGAGAAAGTCAAAAGTAATTACTTTTGGAACCTGATCTGCATTATTGATAACTCATTTCTATACTTCATTATGTAACTGCAAAATAAAGATCTTGAAAGTTGGTAATGTCTGAATGCTGTCTATGCATGTCTGTTTCCAAAAACAAATGCAACAGAATATTTTGCAAGTCAAATAATTGATGGCTGGTATCAATATGAGTATATGAACAAATGCTCATACTATTATTCCAATAATAATAAAGCAAACTAATAATTCTGTCTTCACACAGTTAATGAATATGTGTATATCAGGTGGCAAGGTTATTTTAACCCCATCACAACACTATCAAGAATGATTGATACTCTCTTTTTCTCACTATAGAGTTTTTAAATTGATGTCACACAGAAGTTATTAAATTATTAATTTTCAGAACTAAACAAGTGCAGGTCTAGGCAGCATTTACCAGTCTACATAATCAGTACGATATATTTGCCAAATATAATTCATCATAAATAAACTTTATATAAATCAAATTCATTTACCCATGGCCATTTCTCTATTTATCTTGATGTTTATCTATCATGTGAGTATTCTCATTATCTAGATCAAAGGTCCAGCTAGACCAAAGTTATTAATTTTCAAATATGAAACCAACATTACATTCCTGAAATAAATATTACTTGGTAATAATTTCCTTTCTTGTAGATTCAATCTGATATAATCTATTAGAAATTTTCCTATTTGTCATGATCTTTGGAATGTTGGCTTAGTTTAAGGCTTATATTTCCATTCAATCAAATTGAATTTAGTTAGTATTTGATAGCCTCTTATATTTTTCCCCAAGGTCTAGTTGCTATGCAGTTCATATTAGGTGCTGGCCATCAGTGCTTCATATACCTAATTTAAAAGAGAGTTTCTTTCTTATGGGCAGCTATTGCATCCAGGATCTGAAAGAATCCTTATATTTCTGATTATATTTCTTATAGCTATCACTTCTGGTACTGATAAAAACAAAAGACTGTATCAGCTCTTTTTAATAAAGTCAATAATCTTGGAGATTCTTTCCTAGGTCTTGGCACAATTTTCCCGGATCTTATAAATTGGTCTGACACATACTCTGGAACTGTAACCTTGTTTTCTCCATTTCTTCTATTTATGTTTTTTTTCTCTAAAAACATAAAAGGCATAGCTGCTGGAAACCAATCATCTGCTGCATTAGGTAGATGGTGATTGGCTTAATGCTGCTTAACTGTTAATATCATAAGTAATACTATATTATAATTGCTTACAGTTCTTGTAGTGGTCGTACTGCTTACTTTGCCCTTTTTTCTGATTCTATTTCTTTCAAAACTTTTTCTGATTTTGTGACATTTCTTCCCAAAAATATCTGGCTTTTCTTCTAACATTTTAGTAAGTTTTTTATGGGGTATCAAGGGATGATTCCTAAGAAATTTCTTCCATCTTTCTCTTATTAAAACAGCTAACCATCTCTCACAGAGCCTATATTTCTACACTTATTCTTATGTATTTCCAGCACATCCAACAGAAATAACTAATATTCAAAGCAACATTTTTGCTAAGGTAGAGAGCAGTTTCTCAAGATCCTCTTCTTAAGGACATCCCATCTCATTGCCAATTAAATGATTCGGAGAAACAGCAAATCAAGATCAAGCAAAAATCCTGCACAATTCATTAACTATACAGGTCAGTGGATTACCACAACACGATCACATCTTTTAACTACAACTGTCAAAGGTCAAGAAATAGAAAAAGTAATAGCAACTCAGAAGACCCTTCCCGCCCTCTTCCAATCATTATCCCTCTCTCCCTCCATAAAGGCACCTTGAGATCTGCATGGTGGAAGTAAACCACTTACCTGGCAAAACTTTCATTTTACCCTTTTCAACAAGGGATTCATTCAGCTGTCTCTTTGCTTTGCCTGCTGTCCACCCTCAGTTGGTGGGTTTAGTAACATTTGTTTCTCAAACAAATGGAATCACCTTGTGATCAGCTTGTGTTGGTTCACAGCCAGCTCAGCTGGAGAAACCAGGGGAATTGAGGCACCTTATCAATTTTGTTGGCTTGGCTTATATTCTAAATAAAATAGTAGTGGGAGCTTTGAGTTAACCTTACATTTTATTAGTCTGAATATTAGTCTGCAAATTGCATTTGCAATATTTTGATTGGTCGTTCCCACTATTATATGATGTATTACTTATGTTATATGATTTGTTTTGTGAAACTTATTTATATTATGAAAATTTTTATTAATACATACTAGAATCTCCTGATGATACTTTCCAATATTTATTTATTTAAAAGATTTTATTTATTTATTTGAGAGAGAGAGAGAGCACAAACAGATGGAGGGGCAGAGGGAAAAACAAGACTCACTGCTGAGCAAGAAGCCTGATGTGGGGCTTGATCCCACGATTCTGGGATCATGCCCTAAGCTGAAGTGAGACTGAGCCATCCAGGCACCCCTCCAATCATATTTATTATGACTTGTCTACAACTCTGAGGTGAACTCTTTTAAGAGAAAACATTTTTTTATAAATAAAGGAGCACTTTTGGTAGTAAAGCTAGTTTTAAATATAGCAAAAACATGAATATTCATACATTAAAATAAAAAATGAGGCATCCTTTGTGAACTTCACATTGATGTGCATATACATATACCTATGTCAGGTATATGTATCACAAAATGTTTCTCAGTATTTCAGACTTTTTAACTGTCCTATGAAGATAGACAGGCATACATCAATCCAAATACATGCTATTTACATAAAGCTCTAAATAGCTAGAATATTAGGTGATGAAATTGTGAAGTAAATGAATGAAGACATTCTTAGTATTATCAATAATCAGACAAATGCAAATGAAGATGACAAGATAGGCAACTAATTTTTAAAAATAAATCAGATGACAATATAGACAAGATAGTAATCATCATTATGACTTATTTATTGTTTGTGTGATTATAAATTGTTTTAGCTTCTTCATAAAAGAAAATTGTCATTTTTTTAAGGATGAAAATTATAAGTTTAAATTCTTGCATGAATGAATGAGGCCAATTTCTAAAATGTTTAGAACATTACTTAATGCTTTTGAAGCATGGAATACAAAGAGAAATGTGCACAATTCATTAACTATATGGGTCAGTGGATTACCACAACACCATCGCATCTTTGTAACTACAACTGTCAAAGGTCAAGAAATAGAAAAAGCAATAGCAACTCAGAAGACCCCTCCTGCCCTCTTCCAATCATTATCCTTCTCTCCCTCCATAAAGGCAACCATTATCTTGATTAGTAATAGTCATTTCATTTTGCTTCCTTTCGAACTTTGGATAAATATCATCACTGCACAAGTACTTTTGTGTTTTCCTAATTTCTTTCATTATTATGTTTGTGAGAGTCACTCCACTGTTTTACATAACTCTAACATGTTCATTTTTATTACCATAAAGTAGATAACTGTATGAGTATATCCATTTCATACATGTTTAAACATGTGATATACATTTGGGTTGTAGTAGCTATTACAAATAATGCCTCCATGTACTTTTTGCGCATGTCTAATATTGCACATATGTACATATTTCTCTTATATATGTAACCAGGAGAGGAATTTCTGCTGATATATATGTATGCTGATCCTTAGTTGGTACTTCCAAAGTGAACATCTCCATTCACACTCTATTAATAGCATATGTAATTACAAATTACATTCTTTTTTATTTTTTAAGATATTTATTTATTTATTTATTTATTTATTTATTTATTTATTTGAGAGAGCCCAAGAAGAAAAGGGAGAGGGACACGCAGACTCCACGCTGAGAATGGAGCCCAACGTGGGGCTTCATCCCACGACCCTGAGATCATGACCTGAGCTCAAATCAAGAGTGAGATGCTCCACCTACTGAGCCATCCAATCGGTTGAGTGTCAAATTATATTCTTGAAAACACTTGGTAATTAGAAGAAAAAATTCATTTAGTCATTCTGGTAGGCATTACTGGTATCTCATTATAGGTTAGATTTAAATTTGAATTGAATCCTTGTAATTAGGGTATATTTTTGTATATTTGTTAGCCATTTGAATACATCTCATGACATGTCAAAGTATTTTGATATTTTTAATTTATGCATGTCTTTTATAATTAATTGATATCAATTATATATGGGTTCTATATAGAAGACCTATGTCAGGTATATGTATCACAAAATGTTTCTCAGTATTTCAAACTTTTTAACTGTCCTAAATATTTGAACAGATCTTAATTTTAATGCAATCCAATTCATTAAAGGTTTCCTTTTTTGGAAAAGCATTTTTGTATCCAATTTCAAAAATGTCTGCCTACCCTAAGATTGTCCTCTGCTATCTTGTAGATATTTTACTTGTATTTTATTTTGTTTTACAGTTAGAATAACAGGTCTTTGTTTAAGGTAGCTAGTGAAATTATATTTCTTTTTTTTTTCATTTAAATAACATCAGATTAAAGAGATTATCTATCATCAACCAGCCGGGTTTACCACACAGTGAAATTTAGTAGATCTTTATTTGAACCTTATACATAGCCTTGTTGAGAAAACAAGGCCTCAAAAAATTGGATTAAGACTCAGAATCGTTTCTCTCCGTGGAAATCTTTAGTAAAAGGTGAAAGATTTATACGATGTGAAGAGAAACCATCTTAATCCATACTGACATTGATGTAAACCTAAAATTAAATAAATATTGACCAATACAAATGATAATAAAAAAGTAAAAAAATACACAGAATCTCTCAATTATTTCTTACAATAGTATGTGAATCCATAATTATCTTAACATAAAATCTTTAATTTTAAAATAATGAAACTAGTATCAGACAAATTGACTTCATGAAAAAAAGAGATACTGGGAGAAATTTCAAAGAACCACTTCTCATAATAGAAAAACCTTAAAACCCATACAACATCCACTTTCAGAATATGAATAAACTACAGTGTAGTCAAAGAATGAAACAGTGTATAGCAGTAAAAATAAAAGGCTGTAATGAAATGCAACACCATGGTTGGACTTTAAGAAAAAAATATTGGGATATTGGGTGAATAAAACAAATCTAAGTAGATTATATATTGTCCCATATTCCATATCTCTAAAAATGTATATATAACTAAAATATTGTATAACCATGCATAAATATGTGATGATTGTTGAGAAACAAGAAAGGGGAATGGTAAACATTTAAACAAGATAGTGCTTACCATGGTGGGAAGGGTGGTGCATGTGGCAGCTTAGGGGAGGAGTATATAGGTATCTATAAATACTGGCAATATTCTAATTCATATATTGGATAGTGGATTATTAAATGTTTATTATTTTGAAAATAAGTATATGAATGATTTACAAGTAATAAATAAAACAAAAAGTTCTTATATATACATACATTTATGCACTGTTATTGACAAAGATTAAGATTAATCAATATTTTTGTGTTTTAAATCCTACATTAAGATTAAATTGACTACGGATACTTTTTTAAAGATTTGTTTACTTATTTGAGAGAGAGAGAGAGAGAGAGTATGCCTGTGGGGGAGAGGGGCAGAAGGAGAGGGAGAGGGGGAGCAGGCTGCCTGCTGAGCGGGGTACCCCCTATGTGGGGCTCCATCTCCAGACCAGAAGATCATGACCTGAGCTGAAACCAGGAGTCAGACCCTCAATCAACTGAGTCACCCAAGTGCCAGACTATGGATACCTTTAAGTAGATAACTATTTTAAAAGATGCATTTAGTAAAACATGAAGTCTTGCAATTGTCTAACCTTTCATTCAAGTTTTAAACATTGAAATTTCATCCATTGGTTTTGCATATTGATTATCCTCAAGACTAAATCCTTAAGCAGGAAAAAAATATTGAACCACTAATACAGGATTTCTTCTTCATTAAGTTACTAAAGTAGCCTCTCAGTTTGCAATCTTTTCTAAAATTCTTAGATTTTTACTCTAAATAACTTAATGGAAACTCACAAATCTACATATAAGTACCATGTTTAGGCTTTGGAATCATTAATGTAAATTAGGCACATATCTAAAAAATATATGAATTGAATTTATAGAACTATGTATTTCTATACTTACTTCAGTGAACATTTTATTGAGAATTCTAAAATTTTTAGTTTTATTTTTTGTTTTAGAACTCTGTAAAAATGAATATACATACTGTTTTAGAAATTATCTGTATTAAGAGTGATGTATTGAAAAGCGTAGGTTTTGTAGTCCACTGATGATTAATTATTTCTGCATTTTTCTTGTTTAAGCAGATGAAATTATTTTCAGTGAATAGTCAACTTATTTCAGTAATTTGCAAACAATAAGAATAGTAAAAAATGTTTTTATGTGTTCTCTATTTAATATAGAAAGAAAAAATATTCAAATTAGAATTTAATCAACTGATAAATGTTTTAAGCCTATGCTGATTTGAAATCTGTAATACTTCACCAGAATGTGAGATAAAACCTCTATTTCAAAGATAAGAGTTTGCTAATAAAATGCAGTGTTTCAACCAAATCCTTATTCTTTGGCAGGAAAAAATATTTTTAGTTGGCATTTACTTTTTTTTAGTATGAATTATACATATAGATGAAAAATACATATAATATTATCAAATTATAAAGCTCTGTGGATTTTCTCTAAAATAAAAGACAACATTTTCCTTTCCTTTATCCGAGTGATTTATAAGGAAGATTTTCATATTGTAGATTCCCCAAGACTTTCTGTTACAAAAATATTGTGGGCTTAGCAGCTCTGAAATGTATTACAAAACCCTAAAACTGATGTGTAAAATGCATTAAAATAATATTTCTAATATAGGGGCTTCCTGTAGACCTCCAGGATTGGGGAACATACTGAAACAAGATGAAATGTAGAAATTATGCACAAAGGAGCAATAATCTTACTGTATTAAAATGAAAACTTCTGCATGCAAAAGTACATTATAAAACAAGCAATATAAGTCAATATTTAAGGAGACATTTCCTATGTAAAACTGAGCAACATAATATATAAAATAGAAAAAAAGCCTTCTACAAATCCATACAAACTCAACCCAAATCCCAATATGAGAAAGGGCAAAAGATGTGGAAACAAGTAATTTACAGAGGAGAAAAATTAATAAAAAAATACTAAAAAGATACTTTAATTCACTATGGACTAAGGAATAAAAATTAAGACTACAATGAGATATGTTTTCCCATCCATTCACAAGAATAGTATGATTTATTAAAGGAAGAACAAGACAGAAATAGAAAGATAGTAGGAAGAGCAGAATAGACAGAGGAAGGTCATAAATGAAGAAAGAAGGAAGCAATACTAATACTACCAGGCACTGGTGAGATAGTAAAAATTTGGAATTCCGTACTGCCAACTGAGCTGTTAATTGATATATCCAATTAGGAGAGCAATTTGGCAACAGGTAGAAAGAATTAACAATGCACATATCTTTCATTCCAAGAATTTCACTTCTGAATATATATCTCAGAAAAATTCACATAGGTGCACAAGGAAATGATGGATAAGAATGTTGATTGCAGGGTGCCTGGGTGGCTCAGTTGGTTAAGCAACTGCCTTCGGCTCAGGTCATGATCCTGGAGGCCCAGGATCAAGTCCCGTATCAGGCTCCCTGCTGAGCAGGGAGTCTGCTTCTCCCTCTGACCCTCCCCCCTCTCATGCTCTATTTCATTCTCTCTTTCAAATAAATAAATAAAATATTAAAAAAGAATGCTGATTGCAGTATTGGTTTTAATAGCAAAATATTGAAAAAAAGTATACATGTCCATCAAGAGTACACTGAACATGCTTTGAGATATATAATTACAATGATATAACACATGGAGTTAAAATGAATAAAACTGGTGTTGCACAGGTGAGTTTAAATAAATATCACAAGTAACTGAGTCAAAAGCCATAAACTGCAGATAGTTATATATTAGAGTAATAAAATACAATTTATATAGTTTTAAATATACAAAACTATATATGTAAATGTATATTTTGCATATATATACCAATATGCATACATGTATATTCTCATTCTATTTGCAACCCAATATTGTTACATTTTATGCTAAAGAATATTATTTTGGGGGCTCCTGAGTGGCTCAGATGGTCAAGCATCTGCCTGCGGCTCAGGTCATGATCCCAGGGTCCTGGGATCAAGCTCTGAGTGGGGCTCCCTGCTCAGCGGGGAGCCTGCTTCTCCCTCTCCCTCTGCTGTCCTCCTGCTTGTGCTCTTTCACTCTCTCTCTCTCTGTCAAATAAATAAAATCTTTAAAAAAACAATATTAGTTTATGATTTATATTATAAAAAATAATTATACACCATAGTAGTATAAATCAAAATACTAAAAAATGATATGATGTCCTAACAAATTTTTGAGTACCTCATGTGAAATTTAGCAGAAAATAAGATCATAGTTTGATCTATTACATTTCGTTCAATAATTTTGAAAGCAAGGAAATGTTATGAGGTGGTGTAATGGTTATTTATTTTGCAGAAAGAAATACATGGATCTAACACTAAATCTAAAAGAGATTTTTAAAAGTAGTAAACATTCAAGTTTTCCCACTTGAATTTAATCTGAAAAATGGCTAATGTTATATTAGTCATTTAGCACAATTACTGGAAAGTCATTAAAGAATCCTATTTATAGTTTTTGATTTCCACAATTGAGTTAAATTAAGCAACTTAATATTTGCCACCTGCTAAATCATTACAATTTCATACTAATGTTAATGGTCTGTCTAAAAGACACACACTTGTTAGAGCAGATGTTCTCAGGATAAGGACATAGTTTTAACTAAAGGTCAGCATTTAGGTATGTTCTAGAGTCTTTCTTAGTATTACATAGAAGTAACAACCCACATAATAACCTAAGGTTTCAAATCTAATTTACTATGTTAATAATCTAGAAGGCCATTTGTAAGTGCCTACTGTATATTACATGTATTTATTCAAATGACTATAATTTGAACTATAAAAATAAAATCTTATCATTAGACCAAAAAATCATGCATTTGAGGGCTGTATTTACCTACATCCTATTTTAATATCTGACAGGTTGAAAACAATGCTTAAGAAAAAAATCATCCCCAGTAATCAAAGAAGACAGATTCACAAAAAGTTTGCCTATGTCTCAGTGTGTTGGTTAGAGTTGGGAAACAGTGTAATAAATCTTGGCTATTTTCCCAGTTTAGCATACAGAAAATCTATTAATGTACATTTCTGAAATGCTGAACATTTGCAATGTAAAATATTAAAATAGGTACTGTCATAATGACACTGGTAATTAAAAGAGAAAGGACAACATGGAAATATTTTTAAAACTTGTTTTATGGTGCCTCAACTAACCTTAAATCACAAAGTTCACAGATAGGGACTTGGAAGTATTCAAAAACAGCACATGCCATTAATTATAACTCCTTTATGATAACTGTCTGAACCCTTCCCCAAGACACAACTTTTCACAAAGGTGTTTATGATTTATAATCCTCCCTACTCCTCCATAGCCCCATTTCTGTAGATCTGAGGATGAAATAAACTCAAAGGACTTACATTTGACTAGGAAGGATTCTAAGGATCTTTTCTTATAATAAGAGCTCTTTTTCTTTTTTTAAGATTTTATTTATTTATTTATTTGACAGAGAGAGAAATAGCAA